TGTTAAATTTGAAAAAATAAAAACAATTTTTTTTAATTGTAAAAAAATTGAAGAAACGACGATACAGTTTAATTAAAAAAAAAAAATAAATATTTGTTTTGTTTATTAAAGATTTTTTCCTTTACTTACTCTTAATACAATTACTGGAAAATCCTATCCCAAATTTTAAGTATGAGCCTTATTTAATGTCGATGGTGGGCCTTATTTGGGACTTGGAGGTTCCAAAAAAGGCCCTTTATATATGTTAAAATCACGTTGTTAAACAAAAGTTCAAATTACAATTTGGATAATAAATCCAGACTTTTGCATATTTAAAAAAATTAATAAAAAATCATCAAAATGAAAAAAAATTCAACTTTTTTTATTACTTGTTTTTGAAAAAATAAAATGAAACATTTGTTTTTTTTAATTGTAAAAAATTCAAGAAACGATGCAGCTTAATTTTTGGAAAAATTCAAGGAACAATACTGATTCATTTTGGAAAAAAAAAGGAACAATTGTAGATCTTGTTTCTCAACATTGTCTAATCTTCATGAAAATAGGAAAAACATTATTTTTTCTCATTTCTTTAATTCAAGTGTAATTTTTTTTTCAAAAAATCGTATAAGAATCATAAGAAATTTATTCCTATTTTTCTCGACGACAAATTGACCTAAAGAGAATACAGAGTGTAAAAAAAATTATAAAATATTTAGGAGGTAATAGTATGGACCAAAAAAAAAATTCAATTAAACAATAATAGTAATAATAATAACTCACTTGAGTGAAGGTTGTTAGTAGTCTTTTATCAAAATCGTCGGTGACTCTACCCCCGTATTGGACTTCCCCTAACATATAGCACACTGTGGGCCACGACACCCCCTTTTTGGGGTCCATATCGTCCAAATGGTTTTGTATAAATTGGACACAGGCGGCGAAATCGGCTTGATTGAACTCGTAAGGGACGTTCCAACCCAGGGGTCCAAATTTTCGCCTTTCTTGGACTACGGTGTGCAAAAAGGCCACGGCGTACAGCAACGGAGGCCATTGGTATTGGGCCGAGTAGTCCAAATAGTCCTGAGTGATGTTCTGGTAAGTCCGTTTCATGCTAGCGCGAATTCCTTGCGGCGGCTCATTGGTGAATTTAATCGCCATTTGGAGCAAACCAATGGGGAATTGTTCGTGGACTTCGGTGGTGAGCCAAATTCGGAAATTCTCATGGATGGTTTCGGTGTCCACAACCACTGTCATCACTTCGGTGGCGAATGGTAGAGATAAATGGACGTTTTGGAGGAGGACCCAACCACCGTTTTGCATCGACCATTCGATCATGTCACGAGCGACCACTTCTTGGCCTTGGCCCATGGAAACCGCTTTCAGAGCTGAAATTTTTCATTAGGAATAACAAAAAAAACATTAAAAAAATCAATACTCATTTCTTTTGATTTTGCTAAGGCTGAAATTTGGGGCGAGGGGTCCGAACCGATCGAAAGGATGCAGATTAAGGGGGTTCGGGCCTCGGACTCCGACCAGGTTGCCTCCAAATCGAGGATGCAAGGCTCACCGTATTCCTTACCGAGAGAGTCTGATAAAAAAAAACTGATAATAGTATATTTACACAAGTTTTATAGCACGACCATCGAAGCGAAGAGTGCTTTAAAACAGAAAGTATATAGTATTTTTTTTTACTTTGTTCTCTAGAAAATTTCGGCTTGTTTTTAACAAAATTTCGAGAAATAATTGTGTTTCTACCTTAAAAAGGTGCTAAAARGCTCGAGAAATTTTTTGGCACAAATATTAATAGTCGCCCGGTAGCTGTACAAATTTTGGGCAATTGTTTGGAATTTTTTGAATTATTAAAATTATCTTTTAATTGTTAAATTATTGAAATCTTTCTTAAATTCCTTTTGGAATTATCGGAGATAATTTTTTTTGAAAATTACTTTGAATTTCTTAGAACTATCGGAATTAATTTGGAATTACAGAAATTATTTTGGAATTACGGAAATTAAGTTGGAATTATAGGAATATAATTAATCTGAAAATAATGAAGATTATTGAAATTACTGGAATTTTGGTGGAATTTTTCTGAAATTTCTGCGAGTTTTTAAAAAAATAGTCATTTTGAAATTACTGGAGTTTTGGTGGATTTTTTAGAATCTCTGTAGTTCTTTTTGAAAAATATTATTGGGGATAATTTATTTTGAATTTCTTAAAACAATCGAAATTAATTTGGAATTATTGTGGAATTACGGAAATTAAGTAATTCTAATTAGAGGAATATAATTAATCTGAAAACAATGGAGATTATTGGAATTACTGGAATTTCGGTGGAATTTTTCTGAAATTTCTGGAATTCTTTTTGAAAAATATTATCGGAAATAATGTCTTTTTGAAATACAGAAATTATGCTGGAATTACAGGAATTAATTTCAAAAGAATGGAATTACGATGGATAATTGGAATTACTGGATTTTTTTTGGAATTTCTGAAATTCTTTTTGGAAAATACTGTCTATAATGTCTTTTGAAAATTACATTGAATTTCTTAGAACTGTTGGAATTACAATTTGGAATAACAAGAATAATTTTGGAATTACTAAAATTAAGTTGGAATTACGGAAATCAATTTAGAATTACAGGAATTAATTTGGAATTATAGGAATTAATCTGAAAACAATGAAATTTTGGTAGATTTTTTTGGAACACGCTCGGGGGGCCGTTAACTCTGGAATTGTACAAAATTTTGGAATCCAAACGAAATTTTTTGAAATTATTTGAAAGTACATATTTGAAATTATTAAAGTTATATTTTTATTGTTTGTAATTACTGAAATTATTTGTGAATTTCTAGCTCTGGAATTACTAGAATTCTTTTTTGGTATTATCAGAGATGATTTCTTTTGAAAATTAAGTTGAATTTCTTAAAACTAGCGGAATTAATTTGGAATTACAAGAATTATTTTGGAATTAGGYGAATTATCGGAACATAATTAGTCTGAAAACAATGGAGATTATTGTAATTTTGGTGGAATTTTTCTGAAATTACTGGATTTTTTTTTTGGAAAATATTATCATAGATAATATCTTTTTGAAATTACGGAAATGAAGTTGGAATTACAGGAATTAATCTGAAAACAATGGCTTAACGATGTATTATTAGATTTACTGGAATTTTGTAGGAATTTTTGGAATTCTTTTTGGAAAATATCTGAGATAATTTCTTTAGAAAATTATATTTTCAAAATAGTTCTTAGAACTATTGGAATTAGTTTGTAATTACAGGAATTATTTTC